ATACTCAGATAAAAGTAGTCAACTGGCTACCTGGTTACAAGTCTCCCACAGAATGCTAGGTCCCAACTGGTTTTCAGGCTTATTCTTCTAAATTTCTCAGGGAATCAGATCTTAGTCAAGACTAGGGTCCAGGGCTTGAAACTAGGGAATATTTCTAACTCAGTGTCCTTTCTCCAAATTGAGGTAGGACCATGCCCTGTTTTAGCAGGAAGTAGCTGGAGTTGTCGCCCTAATCCCTGAAAGACCTGGGGAATGAAGAAACAGGATTGGAGATCGAAACTGAGTTCCTCTGCCGAGTTTATGATTAACCCATTTATCTAAAACACTAGTCCGCTTCTTGTCCAACACCTGTTCATCTTAAGATTGAGGAGTATCAAAGAAAAGGGGGGAATTATAACTAAGTGGGACACTATGGGGTCTTCCCAGGACAGACACCTGCCTCATATCCTTTGCTGTAGCTCTTCTCTGAAATAGCCAGATAATGGTATCTCATGTATGCTTCTTGAGTTTTTCAGATGCTAAAAAGCTACCACCAAATGGAAGAAATTATCTGCTTTATGATCATGAGCACATGGTCCCCAGACCTTCTGGCTCCTAAGGATTGGTCACTATCAACCAATCAGGGACTTGGGTACAGCTGATCACATACACTGGGACACCCCTCCCTCAGCGGGCCTTTGAAAATGCTCGGCTGAAACCCTTTGGGGGAGTTGGTGGTGGGGGAAGGGGTTTGGACATGAGCCACCTGTTCTTGCTCAGCCCAGCAATGTTACTGGGGAGTAGGTTTTTGTCTGGTTGCAGGAGGAATTCAGAGACAAGACACGGAGGTCAAGAAAGCAAAGCGAGAATTTATTACTAGGTGACAGTAGGCTCTCAAGGGGAGAGTGAGTAGACTCAGGTGAGCAGCTGTGTTGAGTTTTTTCAACAAGCAGATTATATGGGGTGAGAGATTCACTGGGAAGGGAGGGGTTTGGGGTGGTGGTCCCTGATTTTCACCCCAGCTCCACCTTCTTAAGGGAAGGAAGGATTTTTGTCGTTACTTAGTCTGGATCAGAAGTGTGGTGTTGATGCGTGATGGGTACTTCTTACCTGCAAGGCTAATTTTATTGTCATGAGGTCATAATGAGCAAAAGGTTATATTCAGACACTGGAGATTCCTGTCTTTTCCTGTCTTTCTTTGCTTCTAGGACACTTGTCACCCCAAAATACGTGGTTTCCTATCAGTCCGGAGGTTCCCACTTTTCTTGGTCTGCCCAGTGTTCACAGGAAGTATGGTTTCCTGCCATTTAGCCCGTGCGCTCCTTTCTCTGCTCACATCTAGCGATCTGCCTGCTCTAACAGCAGTAAACCGTTCTCTGCTCCAAGCTTTTTGGTCTCATTGTGCATCGGGCTTGCAAACTTGGGTTTGGTGGCGTGTGCCTCAGTTTTCTCATCTAGAAAAAGGGCACAGTGGCGGCATCTTAGAGGCATTGTGGGGTTTAAATGAGGTAGCCTGTGTAAAGGCCTCGGCACGGTGCCTGGCACACACAAGGTGCTAAAGGACTGGCTCTGAGCCCTCCCCCAAGTTGTGGCTTTTCCACACCCAGTGAGATACGCTTTCTTTCTGCTTCCCTCAATAGCAGACGTCTCTGTGTGGCGAGATCTGTCCTGTGTGAGAGGGGCACAGCCCTGATACAGGGCTCAAGTTCTGCACACCCTCCCCGCAAGGTGTTTGGCAGCCCCAACTCAGACCCTCAAGGGCTGGGCTTCACAGGGGAGACTGGGCAGCGGGTCCACAGAGGAAAAGCATTAAGGGCATTTTGCTTTAGCAACAGGGCTGGATCCTCTGTGATGGGGAGCTGGGTGCCCTCAGCCCATCGGTGGCAGCAGTGAGGTCATGCCTGGCGAGCTTCAAAAGTAGAATTGCAAAGAGCACCAGAAGACCCTTCTAGAAAGTCCTCAGGAAACCTGAGCTAGGTGAGGGTGGTGGGGAGACGGGGCAGGGCACAGCCTTCCTCCTCCTATCCACTTACCCAAGGCTCCCTCCCCTCGCTGGAGACTTCTTGGGGGAGGTAATTAACTTCTATTTTCCTTCTCTCACTGAGAAATCCAGCGGTTCTTTGCTCCCATTCAGCGTGCTCCAAGAACGCCGACAAGACTGTGGATTTAGGAAATGGGCTCTGGGCAGCGAGCAGGCCCCACAGGATGGGTAGGAGGTGGCCTTTTGTGAAAATGACATCTTTCTCCTACTTGGGGTCTTGCCCCCCAAACCAATAAGACACTCAGCCGGGGCCAAGAGGTGACGTTCTTGTTTATTGTTGAGGCAACTCTTACAGACATTAGCGTTCAGTTAAATAAAGGAAGGTAACACATTAAATACATCACAACCCCCAAAACGGTATGGAGGAGGGGAGGGCGGGCCAGCCCGGTGACCAGACTGTCGGGAAGTACATTCAGTGGGTGTGCGGCGTCCACGTTCCAGGCTCACGTGAATATATATCTTATTTATATATTTATTTATATTTATATATAGAGATCATTGAGTTCTGTGTATACAAAGAACCATATTGTTACAAATACAATACTATACTTCTCCCAACGCTTTACAATAAGCTCTATTTCACCCTCTTTACAGAACAATAGTATAAGTTCATACTCCGGGGCTGTGCTGAATATGTACAAGGAATTTCCTTCCCCCCGGCCCAGTCCTCACAACTGCCTTGATGGAGGGTTGGGACGTCAAATCCGGGCTGTGTGTGCTCAAGTCAGCCTCACCCAGGGCAGGAGCAGACAGACGTGAAACTCAAACCGACAAGTGGCCTTGTAAGGGGGAGAGTGAACACACCTAAGAGGAGGTGCCCTTGGTTGTAAACATTGGTAACAGCCTCACCGCTGGGTTGAGGGACCCGAGAAGGGCTTGGGGGTGGGTTTCATCAGTGTGTTAGGTGTGAACAGGGGTGTGGGGGTGGCGGGAGCAAGGGGGGAGGTAGTAGGTTACTCTGGGACTCTGAGGCAGGTGTGCATGGGCCATGTTCAGACTCGGCTGCAGGGAGGTGGGGTCTGGCGCCCCACACCGGGTTCCAGGCCCAGAGGAGCCACTCTGGTGAGGGGAGCAGGCTCTAGGCATTAGTCTCTTGGGGCTGGGTCTCTCATGAACCCAAGGCTGATGGTGGCTCCCTGAAATGCTCACGTTTAAGGAGGCAGAGTGGGTTCTGGTGCATCCTGGCTGGACCAGGAGGGGTAGACGGAACTGAGAATCTGTCACCAAAGCAGAGTCACCAGCAGGTCCTAGCTGCATGGCAGGAGCGGCTTTTTGCCCAGGCCATGTTTGGGAAAGGCTGCCCTGTTATAGAGTCTTCCCAGTACCCAGGGTTTTCAGGGATTTACATACATAACTATATACTGGGATGTCAGAAAGGAAACAGGCCACCACATCTTGTGGGACTTTCAAAAACAGTCACTACTAAGATTCTGCCTCCTTGGTTAACTTCCAAAGGCAGGTTCACTCCCTCCGTCCACTGGGAGCAGGGAAGAGAACCTGGACTGAGCTATAGAAACGTTCGCGCTCTGGGTGTAAGCCGCCACTTTTATTAAAACAAAGGTATGTGGTGATAATCTTACTCTAAAATGTTATTAGTCTTCTAGGAGAGTTTACCAAATTGGCCTTTTCAGTGCCTGTCAAACTTCCCAAGACTACCGTTCAGTAGCAACTGTGTTCTGCGTCCTCTCTCCTTTGGGTGAAGATTCCTCCTTGGAACCATGTGGGAGGATGCCCGGGAGGTGCTCAGGCAGGCAGTGCAAGTGCTTTCCCTGGGAGCAAGCGGCACAAGCCTTGCCAGTGACTTCCCAAGGCTCCTGGTGCCTGCAGTACCAAGATGGCTTCACACCTGTCTTACCCACTCTTTTTTTGGCAAAGGAAAGATGAACTTATAACTCTTTATTATTTAATTACATCATCACTCTGCAGTCTGCTGACCTAAGAACCGGTGTCCTGGCTCCTGACATGTGTGCTGTGTCGTCCTTGGGGCTGGTCTCCCAGCAGCACTCAGCTCAGCATCCTCCCCAGACGTCCAGGGGGCCCAGACTGCCCACCCTGGACTCCTGGAGAAGGGGCCCTCTCAGCAGGGCTTGTACCACAGTCACACGGAGAGTCCAGCCACAGATGCCGCTGAAACAATCGGCTTTCCTGACTCAAAGCAGAAAACTCAAGACGGTACAGAGATCCTGGGGGCACTGACCGCACAGCTCTCTGGTGGCAGTCTCTCTTGTTCCTAATCTTTTCATACTCATTTTTCTCCCTCCCCCAAATCCCTCCACTCAGTGCATACATACATACCACCCAGCACAGGCTCACGAGACTTCTATTTCCAGACACAACATAAATATCCCAGATGTAGAGAACAGGGACTATATTAATATCACAAAATATATTAGTTTCTCTTCCCCTGTCTCTGCCGAGGTCACAAACAAAACAAAACAAAAACCAAACCAAGCCACGCCCAACCCATGTGAAAACAAAATGCTCTTTGGAACAAGGATAAGTGAAAACTGGCTCAGAATCATATTACTAAAACATCTGCACTGAACAGAGACAAAAACCCAGGACTGTGAGGCACCTGATGAAGACACATACGTTCCACGTCAAGTAAAAGCTGCTTCCGCCCCAAGAGGCAGCAAGCTGTTTCTGGAGCACATTTGGGGATTCTTAGGCATCGCCTGAGGTCATGATTGTCCCCTTAGTTTGGTGGTTTATGGACTGCTGAGGCCTTCCCAGTGTCACAGTCTGCTCAGTGGTCCTGAGCAGAGAAGGCTGGTCCCACCTTGGGCCAGGGAGCAGAACAGGATTACGCCTGGACCCTGGTCCTCAAGGGGAGCAGCCTGTCCCTCCCAGACTCCGTGTGTGTGTGAGTGTGTCGGGTGGGGGTGCAAGGGGAGTCCCAGAACACTTGGAGCCCCGGCGGTGCTGGCAGGGCCAGGCCTCAGCCTCACCCTCAGGCCGGGGCTCACAGCCCTGCGGGCCTCACTGGTGGGGGGGGGAGGGTGACGCAGATGCAAGTGAGACCGTGACGCACCTGTGTGACGCAGGAGGTGGCAGCAGAGAGCGCCTGCCTGTGTATGTCTAGCTGTTGATAACTCGGGACAACCCAGGGTGGCCTCGGACACCCCGGGAAGGGCCTAGCTCTCTGCAACGCGATGGCATCCTTGTCCAAGGTCGCTCCTCTTCTATTCTTGGGTGAAAAGGCTCATGTTAGAAAAGACAATCGTGTTGAAACTAAAACAAGCCGCAGAAGAGGCATAAGGTTGGCTCAGAAATTCTGGGTGGAAATAACGTGTGGTGCCCCAAGTACGCGGTGGGCGGGCACATCCGTAAAGACACAGGCTGGTCCCCCGTTACGACCCTATTCCCGGAGACTGGACAAGAGCAGAGATCAGCAACTGGACTGTAGGCGCTGCTCAATCAGCTTCCTCACCGCTGCCAGGGGCTCCTGATAAGAGGTCTGCACCCCTCTTCCTGGGCGGTGACAACCCTCCTCGGAACCCTCCCCCATAAGGGCCCTTCAGGGTGGTCCCAGGCCGACTCCGGGTGGACACTGGCTGCTCTCCAGTCCCAAGGGAGAGCATACAAAACTTCCCTGGTATTAAAACACAAAAAAAGCAAACCAGAGAGAGACGAGAGCAGAGAGGCAGGTCTCTGGACTCTTTTCTTCCTGCGTGAAACGGAGTGCTGGGCACAAGAGGGGAACGTCTCAGTGGGCACACAGATGCAGCACGAGAAACACAACCACAAGTGAGGAGAGTCCTCCATGCATGCGCCCGGCGGGTGCGCGGCCTCAGATGTACACGGGCTGCTCCTGGGCCGTCAGCAGTCTGTACATGGCAGCCGGCATCGTCTTCATGTGAATCTGAGGGCGGAAACACACGTCAGTGGGGCGGGGGGGGGGCTGTGTGGGCACTGCCCCAGGGTCGGGGAGAGGTGGCACCTCTCAGCATGGGGGGCTCTGAAGGGATCCCCCTCTGCCATTGCTAACAGGGACCTGACCCACGTGGCCTCCAGAAAGGGTGGAATCTGCCGGCTTTCTAGTATGTTAGGGGTGACAGTGAAGAATGCAAATCTGGTGGGGTTTATTTTGCTCTTGCCCTCACCAGGCTTTCCTTTCAAGAAAGAACACCCTTAAAATGGAAGGAGGGCCACTGTGGGGGTTTGGCTGTTCCTGCCTGCCCTTGGCAGGGAATCAGCCCAGAACAGCTGTTATGGCCCCAGGCCAGTCCCCCCTGGACCAAGGAGCCGCCTCTGGGGCGTTGTTGATTGGACTTGAATCTAAGAGTTAAAATCTTCCAGGCACACTTGGTAGGATGAGCTGGGAAAAGTGGAAACAACTGGGCAAGCCAGAGAGAGAAGCTGCGTGAGTCTGAGAGCTGAAAAGAGGTGGGAAAATGGTGCCAGAAGAGAAGGCTGAAGGGCACAGGCTGGGATTTTGAGGAGCTGCTCTCAGACAACCACTCCTCACTGGGTTTAAAGTCTGATCTGGGACAGACACACTGGTTGTGGAGGTGTGTTCAGGATGGGGAAGGACACTCAGGAGGGCTTCCTGGAAGGCCTGGTCAGGGCCAGGGCGAGCATGGGGCAGGGGCACCCGAGGACCCCAGCCCCGGACCCTCGCCTACCTCCCCCACGGCGTTGGAGAGGATGTGGACGATCTTCTCGTGCGGGGTGGCGACCACGCTCTGCCCATTAATCTCAATGATGCGATGTCCCACACGGACGCCTCCTCTCTCTGCTATTCCCCCTCGCATGAGGCTGCAGATCTATCAGAGTCAAAGGCCAAGTTACGCATCCTGGGGCACCGTCTGCTAGGGAGTTGGGTCGAGGCAGGAGCCTCCCTTTTCTAGCACTCCCTAGCCCCAGGACTCTTGTCTCTGAGAAACTGCCGTGCTTACGCATTAGACACTGACATCTTTGCTGCTTTTACAAGCAACAGGGCTCTGGACACCCAGATGGCACCCTTATCCACGTGCTTTGCACCAGAATATATAACATCTGTTATATGACAACCGTTTGTTAACAGCTGAGCTTTTAATATTATTGAATATGAACAAAGCAAATAAGGAAGTATAGAGAGAGAAAAACAGGACGTCAGACCAAAAACTGTAAGGAGTAACTCTACCTCCTCTCTTAAGATGGAAATGAGAGTACGTAGGTACAAAGAACAGATAGTAGGCTGGATATTTCAATTCCAGAGGGGAACTTCAAAGGTATTTCTAAACCTTAAGACATACATGGAATAACATTTTAATTACCTACAAATCTTAATTAAAATTTGAGAGGAAAAAATAGGTTTTTTCTAATTGCAAAGATGAAGGCAAATAGCAGGCACATCCAAAATCTATAATATCAAGAGGGTTACAGATTTCTCACCAAAGCCCAGAATTACTCCAAGTCCAGAACAAGGTAAACCAGGACAAAAAGGGAATAGTACTGAGTATGGAGTTTGTTTGGGATGAAGAAAAAGTTCTGGAAATAGATAGTGGTGGTGGTCACAACCACTTCATGAATGTACTTAAAGGCACTGAATTGTATGCCTAAAAATGGTTTAAAGGGCAAACGATGTTGTATATGTTTTATCACAATAAAGGGGAAAAAAAGGAAGTAGTTTAAGGCAAACATCCAAGTGAGGAAATTACTCTTTATCCTCAAAGTGCCAATATCAGGTTAAAAAGACAAGGATAAAGAAGCTGTGGTATATTTATACAATGGAATACTACTCAGCCATAAAAAGAATAAAATAATGCCATTTGCAGCAACATGGATGGACCTGGAGATTGTCATACTAAGTGAAGTAAGCCAAAAAGAGAAAGAAAATTATCATATATCAGTTATATGTGGCACCTAAAAAATGACACAAATGAACTTATTTACAAAACAGCAACAGACTCACAGACAGAGAACTTATGGTTACTATAAGGGGAAGGGGAGTGGAGGAATAAACTGGGAGTTTGGGATTTCCAGATAACAACTACTACATATAAACTAGGTAAACAAGGTCCTACTGTGTAGCACAGGGAATTACATTCAATAGCCTATAATGAAAAAATCTGGAAAGGAATATAAATGTATAACTGAATCACTATGTTGTACACTAGAAATTAATACAACGTTGTAAACTGACTATACTGCAATAAAATAAAGTTAAGGCAGAGATCATTTACGCATAACCCCCACAGGGCCTGGTTCTCAGCCCTGGCTGTGCAGGAACCTCCAAGAGTTTGGGAGCTGTAGAGCCCTGCCCCCAGGGCGCCACACCCGGTCCATGGGGAGGTGGAGCAGCTCTGCGGGGCTTAATGCACAGCCATGGTGGAGACTGGCAGCCCCCAGAGAGATGGGGATGGTGGGTCCCTCCCAAACTGTCTCAAGTTGGCAGCTGGGAGGGCCACCCTGCACGTCACAAAGGGACTCTGGGCTCAGGGGCCATGGCTCCGGAAGCGCATAGGTCTGCTTTCACCCATTCAGCCCCTCCGTGCTGGATTCTTTCTGGGAACTGACCAGCTTTAAAAATACCCCCAACACCCAAACCCTGTGCTGCAGTTTTGCATGTTAGACTTTTGGAGAAGATGTGGGGGCTGTACGTACAATTCCGTTCTGGACGCTGAACCCCAGCTGGTAGCGGAGGTCTGGTCTCCGGATCAACACAGTAGTCACCGGGGGACACCTCACGATATTCAGCTTGACTCGGGCCTGGTTCTTCAAGCCCTGAAACCAGAATAAAACACAGGGGGTTCAATGACCATCAAGGCCCACACAAGAGGTAAAACAGATGGCACTGAAGGCAAAAGATGCCCCACTGAGGCTGTTACTTCGTCAACTCCTGCAATGCCCTGGCATCCAGCTGGACAGCGCCCGAGCCGGACAGTCCACGCTAGACTGGGTCAACTCGGGAGAAAACTGCCCGGTTTACTCGGAGCCCTTTCATCACATTTCTGTGGGCAATGTCTTCACTGAGGGAAATGGACTGTGTTCAAGGCATCCGAAAACAGCGGTCACCTGTGCAGCTCAGAGGAAAACTGCCACGGGTGCTTTCTGGCTTCAAGGATGAAGGACGCACAATCTGGTCAGGTGAAAGACAAGGGTGACATGTACTCCTTCTCCAGCAGGCATACTTGTAGCAATTCCTTCTTTTCTAACAAACAACATCTAACTCACGGCAGCGGCCCAGTTCACCGGGGCTTGCCGCCTCTCGCCTCCGTGCTCCGCTTCCCCACTCTCTGCCTGCGAGAGATGTTCCAGCTTAGCAGCATCCCCGCAGGCACAGAGGCGGGACTCCAGTCAGTGAAGGCCCCCTCGGGAGAGCGGTAGGACCAGTGCTGGTGGAGAGGGAAGCAGAAGGAAGCAGGACTTGGACACAGTCTTCGATGCCATGCTCCTTGGTAGCATGCCCCTCCCTCTAAGTCGGAATGGAGTACAGGGGCAAAGTTGGTCTTTAAAGATTAAAAGGGCCTCGGTCTGATTTCCGAGCCTGTCTAGAGAGCTTCCTCCACCCGTTCTGATCTAAGCTGAGCTCAGGCCCCTCTTCCTGCCCATTGAGCACGTGCTATGCAGTGAGCAGAGCCTGGGTCTGTGCAGGAACACCCCTGGAAAATCATCACAAAGCCACACTGTCCTTCACTCAGGCGATGGGAAGGTTTCGCCCCCGCAGGTCCCAACACCAGCTTGTGAGCCTCACCCAAGAGGAAGGTGCCAGACAAAAGTAATTCAGTCCTGAAATGAACCTGTCTCAGACTGCGTGCTCTGCCTCAGGCCACTCCTATTTGCCTGATGGTCCAGACTAACTGGCCCAAAGGGCCCATCTTGGGGTGGTTTCCAACCTGCTTCATGGCGCACAGAGAAAAAGACGGGTAGAGAGACTGGGGGCTTGTAGCTAGAGGCCCCGCTTTGAGAGCTGAGGTGGGGGAGGACTGCCAGATGCCTGCCTTACTGGACTCCCACAAGGAGAGGCCAGCTGATTGGGGAATGGCACCTGAGCAGCCACAGGCCCTCTCCTCCAAAGGGCCGGAGGTGAGGGAGAAGCTGTTCCTAAAAGCTGTGGCTGTGGGGTAAGCGGGCATCCTCTCCTCCAGAACACAGCAGCCAGCAGAGGAGGGAGAGGAAAAGGTGGGCCCCAGCCCACCCAAGTCCACAGCATCCCCCATCAATTCAGGTGGGTCTAGTGTGTGCCCTCTAAGGTCACAGTGGAGAGAGACGCCCCGAGAACAAGGACAAATCCATTTCTGCCTGGAGGGTGATGCCTCCTCTTCTGTAAACAGAAATCTGTAAATTCCACAGCCACTGCTGCCAGCTGTCACTCTGACCAGCCTGCAAATTCTGCAGGAGGTCAGAACTCCTCCTTCACATTTCACAGATGAAGACGCAGCCACAGACATGAAACCTGCCTCGTCCACAGCTCAGTGGGGTCAGGATTGGGGTGAGGGGCCCTCTGCTTTCCTCACAAGCACCTCGCCAAGCAGAGAGGTGAAACTGCTGTTAGAGGACTTCCGTGCCAACAGAATTTGTGGCAAGAGGGTGACTTCCCTCTGAGAGGCAGAGGTGACCCACACACCTTTTGCTTCTAAGTAATAAGAATATGCTTTAGCTTGAGATACATAGGGGCTTTTTTGACCTCTGGTTGTCTGGCTTTATCCATGCTTGGTCAACACGCATATACCAGTGGTTCTCAAAGTGGGAACCCCACCCCAGCGGTCCCAGCATCACCTGGCCACTTCTGTTAGAAATGCAGAGCCAGGGGTCCACCCAGACCTCCGGAACCAGAAACTCCAGGAGTGAGACCCAACAATCTGTTGACAAGTCTTCCCAATGACTTGCCACACACTTCCTCGGGATACACTCCATTTGGAGAACTGGTACAGACCACCACTGCACACCAATGAATTCACCTGCACTCAAAGATGCTCAAAGCCAAAGACTTAAGTTCACTACTCACATCCGTGGGCAGTGTGCTCTGTGAGAGCGTGGGCTAGCAACACCAGGGTGGGGGACGGCTTGTGGGAGAGCTGGGTGGCCTTGTGCCCAGCCTTCCACCCCATGCGTGTGAGCACCTCTAAGGTCACTATCCATCAAAACCCATCCTAATGATGAAACCAGCTGAACCACTTGTCACTGACTGCTGACTGCCACCAGGCACCCACCTGGAGTCACAGGAGCTGCCTCTTTTAACCTCCTTGACAAACTGGCAGCTGTAATTATGCCCACTTTATAGAAGAGGAAACAGGGTCCGAGATGCTAAGCAATTCTCACAAGTTCACCCATAGCAAGATTCAGTCCCAGGTCTATTTGTGTTCAGACCCACAGCATGTCCCCTACATGATGGCCCCCCATCTAGACAACAGGAGAATATGTGTTATTTACAAGGAAGGCTTGCTCAACAGAGAAGCCAGGGAGGGCTCTAGGAGAACAAACTGGTTCTCTTATCCCAGCCTTGCACAGGGCCCTGGTTTTAGCTTACTTTCCTGCCTGGTGAGAGCTCTCCAGGGCTGCTGCTCCCTGGCCGCCTCACTTCCTTTGAGCAATTCCAGTTTGTCTTCTCAACATGTGAAACTTGGGGGGCTCTGTTTAATCTCCCACCTCCAGCTGTTTCCTCAGTGTCCTGAGTTGTTGTCTGGACTGGAGCTGCCTGATGGCTGTGATTCGGCTATGGTGACGTGTTATGCACTCACAGGCAGCGGTTACCAGCATCCTTTCGTGGTTTCCAGAACATCTCTAGGAAACCTCTCCTGTTCAAGAAATGTTTTCAAACTGGAGCAACAGAATGAGCCGAGGGTGCGTCTCCCAGGATAAAGGAAGTCTGCGGAGATCCAGGCCTTCCACATGAGAGCAGGTCCTGTCACCCACGCCCACCAGGGGATGTGCCGGACTTCTGCCCCTAACAGTGGGACCAGCGGGGCTGGGGGAAGAGGCCTCTGCTGTGCCCGGAGACCTGGGCTCGAGCTGTGTTTCCATCACCACAGGCTGGGGGGTCTTAGACCCTCCACTCCACCTTCTTCTACCTCAATCTTACCTTCAGAACCAATGGTGAAACCCACTAAGGACTCTTCCACTTATAATTTCTATGATTTCACCCTGTGCCATGCTTTTTTATTCTTTCCTAACAGTGTCTGCTGACAACACCACATCTCAACCATGTTCAGAAACAGATTATTTCTAGGATTAAAAATCGGCTTCTTTTGTGGGGGATCGTTCAGATACCCTTTGTGCGTACGCTTCTCTCTCCCCTGAGCACCTCTTCCTTCTCACTCACCCAGTAAATACTCACGGATCACTTGCAGTGGGCCAAGCATGTGTCAGGCGCTGGGACTCTGTGGAGCCAGGCCTCCAGGAGCTCGGGGAGGGGGCGGCGAGCACAGGTAGGGCAGCCAGAGACCTCAGTCCCTTCCTGTCTCTCCCCAAATCACACACCACCAGACCAGGAGAGTGTGGGGAACAGGAGCGTAGAATGCAGAGAATGAGGGGCACAACAATTCAGACAAAGCCACCTGCTCTAAATGTCTACACCTGTGAACCACTGCGGGCATCCAGGTCTGTGGTTCAGGAAAACCTTAAGAGAGCTACTGAAAAGCAAGAGAAAGACTTCTCCACGTTACCTAAAATGTTCGCACAGCTCTGGCGGGTTCCTTCCTTTTGTGTGAATTGATTTCAGGTGCCTGATTTGTCCCTCTGTGAAAGAATTTCTAGGCTGGGGATATCGGCTGCTAGACAAAGCCCAGAGAGATGGCGATTTGGAATGACTAGACCATGCATTGGCTCTGCTGTTTCAAATCAGTGCTTCAAGTTGGGTCGCATTAACTTGGATTTCTTAGCTGCCATTTTAATGGAGGTGCCAATTAAATAAACGGTCACTTTGTCCCCATGACAACAGTGGAATAGTGCAGCCAATTAAGAAATACGGTGGGAGGGGAAAAGTAGGGAAGAAGGAAGCTGGAATGGTCTCTATAGCAACGGGAGAGCAGACCCAGGATGATCCTGTGGCAGGAAAAGGGATCACTGATGCTCTAGTTTCAAAAAGAAAACAAATCTGGAGGGGAAGACCATAGAGGTCATGGCGTGAACGGGCAGGCCGCTAACATGCTTTGCCTACCAATAGTTACACTTCAGGAATTATGACAGGAAAAAATAAGAGCTAGGGAAGAAAGCAATTAAAATAATTCAACACCTGTAACACTGTTCTAGAAATCTATTCTATCTCCTTACAGCCAGGGGAGAAAAGGCCCACATGCATTAGAGTGGCAAGGCGCAGAACATGCGGCTGTAGACTCTTATTCCTCAAATCCCCGCCCAAGACTGGTGATGTCACCAACACCGCCCACCTCCACCCGGGAGTCTGCTGAAAATGCAGAATCTCACTCTCCCCAGAACTGCCAAATTTTAAAGATTGCCGGGTAACTCAAATCAAAGTTTGCAAAGCATTGATGAGATGGTAACATTCTCTGGCAGGTGGTGGGGAGGGGCAGGGGTAGGTGGGGACATGGCTGGGCCAGTCACATTTCTCCATTCCACAGGGCAGTGCATCCCGTGGCACTGAAACCGGCAGCTGTGTCCTAACTGGGGCCTGCCTGCTAAGCACCTCTCTGCCAAGGGCAGCCACAAAGGTGCTGCCTTTCTTCCTCTCACCTTCATCAGTTATCTTTCTTTCAGTGCCACATGGCCTTTTAATTTTCTGATTCCAGAGAGACTCCATTTATAGACATCAAAGGTCAGCTACTCTCGCAAACCTTTTCTCCTTAGGAAACTGCTCAGACGTAGCGTGCCAACTGCACCCTGTGCTAGTCTGTTTCCACCTTGACAGATGATGTACTGGACAGAAGACGTGTCCCTGGGTGGTACCAGGGGAAGTCTGCCGTGCCCTCACGGCCTCCTCCGTGGGTAGAGGCGATCTGGACTCAGTAAACTGGGGATTCCTGGGCACCTAGTTTATACCTTCTGATGACTCCATCTGTGACCCAAGGTCCTGCCACCCCTCTCCCTCATGGGGCTCTTGTGAGGAAGGGAGGAGACCAGTGCCAAAGGCTGGGCACTGCCTGGCAGGTGTGTAATGAGCCCAGGCATGCAGCCTCTCCAGTCCTCAGGAAGCCCTGCTTATTCCCACCCAGGCCCCAGCCCCACCTTCACTCAAGGTATCCCCTCTTCTGGCCCCTTCTTTCCAGAGGTAGATCAACTCCCTATCCTCCTCCTCTCCAGATCTCTTTCTCACCCCTGAAGTCCAGTATCCCTAAGGCAGGCTGTCTCAGCCGCAGCACTGCTGACATTCGGGCTGGACAGTCCTTTGCTGTGGAAGCTGCCCTGTGCATCACGGGATATTTGGCAGCATCCCTGACCTCCACCCACCGAGGGCCAGGAGTCGTATCTCCTTCTCCTGAGCTGTGACACCCCAAACTGTCTTCAAGACCAACTGTCCAGATCCCCCAGGCTGAGAACCACTGCCCTCGGGTCTGACCACACACACTGCTGTAACAGTATCAGGGTGGCTGAGTGACCTGCCTCCACCACTGATGAGCTATGTGACCTTGAATGGTTGTATCATCTTTCTGTGCCTGTTTCCAAACTTATACACGGGCATAACAACAGCACCTACCCTACAGAAGGCTGCCGAGAGCGTTCCATGAGTGAACACGCACGTTCTCAGAATGGTCCGGCGCACAGCACTCAATCACTGTTAGTATCAGTCCCTTCATTCACTGCTCCCCAGCGAGCCCAGGCTCCTTGCGGTGCAGACTGTGTCCAATGCATCTGATTCCCGTGGTCCCCTGGCAGTTCTCACACGTGCACAGGTGTTTAATAAGTAACTTACTCACCGGTATGAAAGGGCGTCAGCGAACCTTGGCACGTGTGAGTGAGAAGCCAAACGAGGATGTGTCCTTCCTCCCCATTCCTGGCCCTCCCTCGCGCTTCCACATTATTACACCATCAGATTAGCCATCCCAGGCTGGGTCAGACTTGTCTCCCCTTGCCACAGAGCCAGCCCATCAATTCAAGCAGAAATTCCCAAAGGCCACTTTCCTTTCTGCTATCCACACGGGTCTTACTCCTCTTCCAAGACCGACCTTAAAAATCAGGTAAAATTCTCCCCCACAAAATGCTCTTAGCATTTCACCTCTATGTTGCCATCAGGACCCACTGAACCTCTTGAATGATACATTATCCCCCGTGTACAGACTGTCATTCTGGCTTCTCCACAGTTCAGCTCAGTCTAATTAAACATGTCTGAATGAATATGCATGTTCAAAGTAGGTTCTTTTATCTTTAACTATGTTAAGCATGAAGTAGAATTCAAGTGTAAGATGTAACAAAAAGAAATTAGGCCAAAGAGGACTATTTCTTTCCGGATGTGATTATCTTAAGAGGAATTACAATCTGTTTCATTAAAAGCTAAGAGGCATCCATCTCTGTCCTGGGCACTCACCTTGGCCTCTCCTCTATCGCAGACCCTTGGCCAAGGATGCTGGCTTTTGTGATTTTCTTTTGCTTAGAATAACTTTTACATTACATTCATTCTGTCTCTCTCCCCCCAGACGTGTGCACGAGCACACGCTAACACACACAGATCTATGTTCTAGTTAACTCTTTCAGGAAACCCCGAGGGACCAAAGAAAGTCACAGGATCTCAGGCTGCCTGTGGTACCACAGTGCTTGGTTTCAGAGTTAGTGGGGTCTACTGATACTGTAATGGAGGAGAAATACTCTTGCTCCTACTGGCCGTGCAATCAGCAATGCTTGAAAGATTACACGTGGATGCTTCATTTCTAGGAAGGAAATCTCATTTCTTCCCCTCAGATATTCACACTTAATCTTCCTTAAGCAGCTCTTCTCAGCCCTATGCAGTAGCATCAGTTCAGGCTGAACAGGCAGTAACTACATTCAGGTGTTAGGAGTACACAGACTGTACCACAGCTTCCTTCTTTCCACCTGGTATGTGTGGATCATATTATGCAGGCTCTGGGGGAGGAAACACTCACAGAAACACTCACCTGGATCACAGTGAAGGAAAAAGTGCTCTGGGATTTGAAGCATTTCCATGATTTGTAA